AGCCTGGTGTGATCTTCACTTCTTCAATCATCCCTTTTAGTTCTCGAGCTGCTTCTTCTTCCCATTCAAACAATTTCCTTCTCCATGTTAAATTCCATTTCCATGTGGCCCTCTCCACTTTACCCATTTCATGACATTCTTTTCCTTTCCCTGTTGACAGTAAATACAACCTAGGAAATTTGTTGGCTAAACACTCCTCCCCGCACCATGAATCCCACCAGAATTTAATACCTCTCCCTTCCCCTATCTTCAGCCTAAAATCCTCCCACAACCATCTCGCGTTCACTCCCTCCCCGGCCTTGAGTCTTCGGACATCTCTCCACCATAGCGATCCTATGTTCCTGCCATCACGCACCCAATCCAGCCAGTGTCCCCCTTCTGCTCCGTATTTTCCTACAATGACACTCTTCCACAAGCCCTCTTCCATATTTGCCAACCTACTCAACCATTTTCCCATCAATGCCACATTAAATTTCTTCAAGTCTTTTACTCCTAAACCTCCCTCCTCCTTTGATCTACATACCCTCTCCCAACTAACCCAATTAATTTTCTTCCCCTCTCCCTCCCCTCCCCATAAAAAGTTTCTCCGAATTTTATCTAGGGAGTAGAGAATACCTTTGGGTAATAAGTAGGCTGACATTTGGAACACCGGTAAGCTGGACAATACAGAGTTTATCAGCGCGATTCGACCCCCCATTGATAAGTCTCGGCCCTTCCAACTTGCTAGCTTCTTTTTGAAGGAGTTCACCAGTGGCTGCCACATCGTTAATTTTCTATGATTCCCTCCAATTTGAACTCCTAGATACTTAACAGGGAGCTCGCCTTCTTTGCAGTGGAGAGTGTAGGCCATTCTCTTTTTCCAATCTTCCTCAACCCCGATACCCATTAGCTGACTTTTACCATAGTTAATCTTAAGTCCCGAAGCTAACTCAAAGGTCCTCAAAATGCAGTTGATAACTTGAATGTTTTCCTTTGATGCTTCGCCAAAAAATATCGTGTCGTCTGCAAACTGGAGGTGTGATACTGACACTTCTTCGTTTCCAATCCTCACCCCCTTGTAGAGATTTTTACCCACCGCAGATAACATTAAGCCATTCAATCCCTCCGTTACTATTAGAAACAAGAAGGGCGATAGTGGATCTCCTTGCCTTATCCCTTTACTAACCGGGAACTGCCTTGTGGGGCTTCCATTAATGAGGATTGAAACTGTGCTTGACTGTAGACATTCCTTCATCCATTTTCTCCATGTGGCAGTAAATCCCATTCTCAACAGCATGTAGTCAATAAAATCCCAGCATACATTGTCATATGCTTTTTCGAAGTCAACCTTGAGTAGAAAGCTGTTTTTCTTCTTTCTCTTTGCCTCCTCAATCACCTCATTAGCGATGATCACCCCATCCAGCAGCTGTCTACCTTTAATGAATGCCATTTGCTACTCCCCGATGATCTTATCCAGAACTTTCCTCAGTCGGTTAGCTAGCAGCTTTGCCAAGATCTTATACATAACTCCAATGAGCGAGATTGGCCTAAAATCTTCAATTCTTTGGGGATTCTCAATCTTCGGGATTAAGACTATGAAAGATGCATTTGCTCCTTTTTCTATCTTGCCTCGCTCGTGGAATTCCTGGATATAGCCAATAATATCTTGTTTGATGACCTCCCACATAGCCTTTATAAACTTGAAATTAAACCCATCAGGCCCTGGGGATTTTGTTGGCTCACAATCCCACACTACATTCTTGATTTCATCCTCAGAAAACTCAGCCATAAGGGATTCATTGTCTGCATGGGAAAGTTGTTTGAAGTTGATGCCATCCAGCTTTGGTCTCAGCCAGTTACTTTCTGTGAACAAATCTTGAAAATACCTTGCCACTCCTTCTTTTAACTCCCCCACCTCCCGAATCTGTTTCCCATTCACCTGGATGCTATTAATCTCATTTCTTCTCCATCTGCCCTTCACACAATTATGGAAAAATCTTGTGTTAGCATCCCCATCTCTTAACCACATCTTCCTTGATTTCTGCTGCCACATTCTCTCCTTGATTTTCAAGTTCTCCCACAGATCTAAGAAGCAGTCTTTCCTCTTGTTTGCATCTTCTTCCGATAATTGGACGGTTTCTCCTTTCTCATCCAGAGAAGCTATCATCTTTTCAGCATCTTTTATCTTGCGGTCTACTTCCGACATGTGGTTGCCACTCCACTCCTTCAAGGCTTTTTTAGTTCCTTTCAATTTCTCTTTCAGTCTGAAACCCTTTCTCCCATCTTCCCCTGTAGAATTCCATGCCTTTCTTATCAGCTCCTTACATTCATGCTGCTCCAGCCACACATTGAAGAATTTAAACGACTTTGGTCCCCAGTCTATTTTTTCATTTTTCAGGACCAACGGGCAATGATCTGACACAGTTCTACCCAAACCCCACTGTTTCATATCACTCCACTTCTCAAACCAATCAGCAGTTATAAAAAATCTATCAATTCTACTCATCTGTCGACCATTTGAGCTATACCAAGTATACTTTCTGCCTATCAATGCTAAATCAATCAATCCCGCATCCTGGATAAAGCTATTAAACTCATTCATCTCTGTAGTTGTATCTTTACACCCTGCCCTCTCCTCAACCTTTGTGACCGCATTAAAATCACCCCCTAAACACCATCTTCCCTTCCTTCTGTTGATCAAATTACCCAGCTCCTCCCACAACTCTCTTTTGCCCGCCAGAGTACATGGAGAGTAAATGTTAATCAGATGTACTGGTATCTGCTCCTCTCCCCATACCCCAAACACCCCCATAAAGTAACGGCCCTCCACCACCTCCATCATTTTGAACACAGATAAATCCCAAATACAAAGAAGTCCTCCAGATAAACCCTCTGAAGGTTTAAAAATCCAACCAAAATTGTCACTGCCCCACACTCTCCTGCATAATTTTCTATCTACAACTTCCAATTTTGTCTCCTGCACTGCTAAAAACTCTATCCTTTCTTTAATAACCAACTCCTTAATAATTCTTTTCTTCCCCACCCCTCCTATTCCCCTTATATTAAAGGACATCAGGATCATTAATCTCAGTGCTTACCTTCTTTGCTTCCTCAGCTGCCCGATTTACCATTTCTTCTTTATTTTGTCTGTCTCTCCTCTCCATCTCTTCAATTCTTTGCACTATCACCTCGTCCTTCTCTGCTGTAGCACCCAACTGTCTGGCTAAATCCCAAATTTCCTTAGCTAGGTGGCTGTGCATTTGTTCCTTCCAAGCCCTGTTACAATTTTCTATTCCACTATCTCCAATGGATTCCCCTGCTATCTCGCCATTTGGGCTAGCCAAGAATACCGGCATTAGACTACCTTTCTTTGATTTCCGGATCTGTTTTGCACTTTCATCTTTTTTCTTTCTCCTTCGTTCACCACCCGCAGCCCCCTCTCTTCGGTAGATAGCACTACAAAGCCTGATCTTCTTCTTCCTCTTTTGCTGAAAAGCTAACGCCCCCTTCTGCTTCAGGATCTGCCTCTGCTCCACATCGCCGTCAAGATCCCACTGCGTAGGAGCTCCTCCTTCCTCTTCGGACAGAGACGTCTTGGCTCCCCTCGATCCCTCCTGATTCGAGAGCTGCTTCTGATCATCATCGCCGTCATGCTCCCACATGACCGACTCCCTCACTTCCTCCACGGTAGACGCCTCCTTGTCCCCTCTCGACCCCATCTGGTTTGGAGATTGCATCTGCTCCTCTGCAGCATCGATTTTCTGCTGGACCGAATCCCCTTCCCCATCTTCGGAAATTACAGCCTTAGATCTTTTGTCTTTATTCATCTCCATAAGTTGACCAACCGATGGGCCTAATCCCCTTAGACCTTGGCCCAAACCTTCATTAGTTGACTCCTCAAAGCTTGGGCTACTTCCATGGGATTTGGGCTTACCTTTCAGCCTCCTCCTATGATTCTCCTTGAAGCCCAATTTTTCTACAGCACCTTTCAATTTCTCCTGTTGTTGCAACGTTCCCTTTTCCGCTGCACTGTGGTAATCTTCATTTGAATTTTGAACTTGGACCAAGCTCCCCGCCCCTGCTTCAATTCTCCCCTTTTTGACCTGCACATCATGTGACAGAAACTTCCCATCACTGTGACCGTTACTGTACGCCACCTCATCATCTTCCTCCTCCAGCTTATCATCTCCCATGAACTCTTGCTCCATCTCTGCAATTTTTTCCAGAACAGAGTCTTCCTTATCACTTTCTAGTGACCATGACTCCTCATTTTCAGACTCGCTTTGAAAAGTTGGCATGAAATCCTGCTTCAAGGAGAAGAAGCTGTTGGTGAACTCCTCCTCCGTAAATTTAACATTGTGCATGACCCCATTAATTTTAATCTGTCTCAATACTGATATTGTATTCATGATCGGTGTTGAGAGCAGAAATCTAGCTACATCGAATCTTCTTTTTTGGCTTGTGTTGTCGTCCAAACAGATGAATTTACCCCATGAGCTGCCCATTTTTGCAAAAAAATCTGATCCCCACACATTTAGGGGTGCTCCTTGACACCTAATCCACACACAAACCTTTCATCCGCCACCTTATCCGGTGACCATGGTTTTACTTCTGCAAACCATTGTCCTAACCACTCGGATGCCGACTCCACCAAATGTTTTAGCTCATTTTTGTCATCACAATCAAGAAGCACCAATTTTCCCCCCATCGCGCGGATTCGACATGCAAAGTACCCTTCCATGTAAAATTTTTCCTGCAAATTTCTAACCATTTCCACCGAGTAAACTGTTCCTACATAGCATCCTTCAAGCCACGCATACTCCCCTGGATCAACATTGTATTCAAATCCAGCCCAATTAGCGCTCTTACCCTTTTCTTGCCACACTTTTCTGTTATCAATGACTCCCATTTCACCC